AATAGGACGTATATAGGCTGTAACTTTAACTTTTTAACTTTATAAAGTTGTTACAATAACACAAAACTTATGAACTACAAATGGTGGTCATATCACTTTAAATAACGCCTAATTGATAATAAATTATTCTGTTATATGCTACTTATTAAAATTTTATTGTATTTGTTTGTAACAAAAAACGAATAAAATAAAATACAGACCAATAATACTATTCGTGGCGACGATACCTGAAGTAATGCCGGTGATAATAGCCTGATGCGAGCTGTTGAATAAATAAATAAAAAATTATTTAAGACACCGTGTTAATATTTACAGTGGAACCTGGTAAATTGGGATCTCAAGGGACCAAGGATTTTGTACCATTTAAAGAGGTTTTCATTTATCCAGTTTAACAATTAGACAGGTTTAAAATTTAGTTGTCTCATTTACAGAGGCCCCCGCTTATAGAGATCGAAATTTCGTTTCGAAACCTGTCCCAACCTGATAAATTGTCTCATTTGTGAAGGGAATTGAGCTCTATAGAGTCTACAGGTAAACATCGAAAAAATCCTAGAAATCAAATCTCATTTAACCAGGTTCGAAAATCTCATTAACAGAGGTAATTCGATGAAAAAGTGCCGGGACCTCATTGTACTGTACATAACCAGGTTTCACTGTACTTACCGAATATATTATCGTAATTTTCAATATTATCGTGATATTCTTGTAGTTTTGTAAAGAGCACATTCGGATTGAACAAATGCCGAAAAATTGGCAATGAGCATGAACCTAAAACAAGACTAAATAAGACGTTTTTAAGGCACTGATTGTTAATCTTATATAAATCTCATAGTAGTAGAACAATTGTTCCATCAAATTTTCTACAAATGTAAACCGTGTTTGTAAAAGTTACAAACGAATGTAAAACATGAAGTTTTTACAAGTTTCACACATCAAACGCGAAGCTGAGACTTAGTGCTCTATTGTCACCAAATCAAAATATCGCGATCCACTTAACCTAAATCATTCCCCCAGCTTTATATTGCATTTATATAATAACAAAGTACACTAGTAGCAAAAGATTTTAATTAATACTTCTGAAGTAATTATGAGATTATTTATTTTAATTATTAATAAAAAAAGTTAACTGAAAATGATTTCACTTGGACGTCTTGGATTCATTAATATTTGACAATTTATTTCGGCAATAAAATACGAATCACCGGTATGAAGCAGTCAAAAAAATCGTGTTAATTAAACAGAAATAATTTTTGTAGCTTTAAACGAAACACTCGTTTCGGTATTTAATAAAAGTAAATTGGTTATACAAAACATTACATGAGCTTTTGAGGTGTGCACATTCGGATTTTTTAAATTTGTTTTAATGAATTTGTTGTAAATTATTTAAAAATTAATATTACTAAATTACAGTACCTAGATAATGATTGTTTACATTGTATAAATTGGATGCAGTTGAACTTCATCGTTCAAACTGTTTACAATAAGAGTTTGAATTTTATATACATTTGTATATGTCACAGTATTAATATTTTATGTATTTAACAGGGACATAATATAGAGGATATGTAATATGGTTTTACATACAAGACGTGGAATTAGTCAATTCAAATTTATATATGAATGCAATAGTAGCTACGATTGGTAGTACGGAAGAAAATATAAATATTTAATGTAATTATTTTTTACTTGTTTAACCGTTAAATTGGGTAAGATTTCTTCATATTGTGAGTAATTGAGTGAGTGTATTGTGAGTAAATCAATTTAGATATAATAAGGATGTTAAATTTAGGTGCCCACACCATAGCGGATCTGTTCTTACTGTCAGAAAATACACCTGTATCGCAAATTATTTAGTTAAATATATTATCGTCTTATAAGCCTGCAGTTGTATTGAACTTATTTGTAAATTAGATAGCATGGCTCTTTGCTGCTAAGTCCGTCTGAATGGATATGATACTCAAGAAAAAATGATTTTACTATTGTGTTTTTGAACTGAATAGCCTATGGTACAAGGCTGTGAGGTATTCTTTATGCGTCATATCCATCGTGCAACTCCTCAAATGTTCGTTTATTCATAAGCAAAGTAGCTGTAATATATTGTGCTAGCATTTCATCTGTTCAAATTAGCACTAGCTTGGCGTAGGTTTATATCTGTAATTTATAATAGTTAATACTCGTTTTAATCGTTAAATCTGTATTATTTACTGTATTTTCACGTCGATACCAGAAATAAAATATGTACTGTTTTCTACGTCAGTTGTCTCCGTGTGGTTAATGTCGATAACATAGCAACGAGTAGGGCTTTCGATTGTGATCTACTCATCGTACCTGGCTTTCTGTGGCAGCTGCGAAACTGATCTCCTTTACAGACTGATTTTTTCCTATTGAGTGAATGTTGAAGGAATGATACGATGAAAGCTGTTAATACGGCTGTTGCGAGACTTTGTACGAATCGAGTTCGACTTACGTACGTTTTGTAGTTAGTGTTAATGATGTTACGAGGCTTTCTCCGTGAGATTTGTTTGACTGTGAAAATTTGTTTTAGAGGCACGTCGATATAGTGACTCCATTAAATAAGATTGTTTTATTATATGGCGTAACATTTTGGTGTAGATACGCTGAGCTTACCAGCTATCACAGGGTCCTGTGTGTTGCTATGTCATGTGAGAATGAGGATGAATTCTAATACATTGTAACTGTGTAATAACTTTCACGAGTGAGCGTTAAACGTATTAATAGACATAAGCGATCTGATCTTCCCACACTTCCCTACACCCGCATTCGTTATTACCTGTAGTAGGTAAAGTTACCACGCTACATACTTAAGTCAGTAATTTGCTTATATCACATTTCAATGAAAGCGTATATGATTATTAGTAAAAATCTTATTAGTGATAGTTGCATTTAAAACGAATGAATTAATAAAAAATATAATTATAAATGTATATTAGAAGTATTATATAATGATAGTTGAGATTGGTCTATTTTCCATAGTTTGCCGTGTTGGACTTAGGGTTGGCAGGATATTTGGACAATATAACGCGCGAATAGATAAGTGTACCTCTATTATAAGCCGTCACACTGAACCGATACGACAACTCGACTTCGAAGCAATGCCTTAAAACTTGTGCTTTATACCGTGTCATGTATTGACCACTTAATATATATAATACATATTATTAAATTATTATTATTATATATTATCAACTCATCGCATTAAAAATGACTTTTTCGCGTCACAGTATAAGGCCCACTTTCTAATGACTTTGATTTCGATTTGTCGTTCGAACATTGTGCGACGGTTCTATCTCTGTCGTAGGTAGAACGTTTGGGCGATGAGACGCCATGACGTCAGAAAGGCCCGGACGGAAGCTTACTAGTATATATCACTAGATATTATTCTCCATGTCGTGGACCGAAACTAACGGCTTAATTTCATGAGCCTAATAATTTTAGCACTTTAAACCTAGATGTAAGCAAGCGACTCTAGTTCGCAACGTAGAATGTTTGATTCACTAGTGTACACAGACGGAACCAATGCGCTAGAGTAAACGAACACATAGAGGTCTAATTATTTTGTAAGTAGGATGACTATAATAATTATAAGAAAGCTATGGTTTACTTTTTACGAATCTGGCCTTATTTCTCTCGTCTAGCTACTGTCTAGCCTCTAACCTAGAGTCAAGAGGAGGTGTCGTTTCACAGAGGAATCTACATTCCCTCTTGCTAATATATCGTTAGAGAAAGTAATTTTTAGGGCACTAATAATAATCATGTACAATAAAACACCCTCTCTGCCTTAGTGATGCTATTCTTACCCCTAATGCTACGTACGAAATGTCACGTTAGAACGAAATTATTATGTATCTTGTAAATACGATTTCTTATGGCTGATGTAAAATATTGAGCACTATGGAAAACTTAAATTCCTAACAATGGTCCAAACTTCACTTGCTTTTTATTTGTACTATACGATTATACAATTTCTATTTAGATAAAGAAATAATAATTAGTCTAGAAATACGTCTTATGCTTTAATTTTATTTAATAGATGTAAAACGTGTATTTGTCGAAATGCTTAATTTTCATAATCAAAGTTTTATGAAGGAAAAAGGTTTATACCAAATGCAGTATTTTTATTTTATATTCTACATCTTTGTACCCTAATAAAAAGCAATAATCTGATTAGACTGTACTTATTTAAAAAGTAACCCTTTATTTAAACCTAATATAGCTAATTCTTAAGAACTGGAAAATAAATATTCTTCGAGTGTACACTGTGTTCATTCTGCTAAAACATTTACCGCAGGCTAATTTATTTGTTCAAAATTTCATTCCGATAACACAATTTATCTGTAAAAGTAATAAATAAATACCCTGTGCCGAGACAGACCATCATAGGAATGGATAGGGCCCAGGTGTCATTATCTGCACAAAACCTAATATAGCTAATTCTTAAGAACTGGAAAATAAATATTCTTCGAGTGTACACTGTGTTCATTCTGCTAAAACATTTACCGCAGGCTAATTTATTTGTTCAAAATTTCATTCCGATAACACAATTTATCCGTAAAAGAGCTAACGTATTGTGTATATTATAAATAAATTTGATTATATATCCAATTGTAATTTTACTTTATATGTACTATTAAGTGCATCATGCACTAAGCAATTTTTAAATATAATACCATAAATAACTAAACAAAATTTTTTATCTGAAATAAAACAAAACTGTAAATGGTTAATTATAGCAGTTCTTTTGTTAAATGATTTGAATGCGCCCTCTGTTTATAAACAATAGGTATTATCGATTAGGCGTTTGTAACAACATCCTCTATGGTGGTAAACATTCATAAGAGAATTCGACGTAAGCTAATCGCCTCACACCATAGCTACTCACAAAAATGAGGCCTACCGTTGTGACCCTCGTGTGCCTGCTACAATTCGCAATCTCTGTTAAAGTCAAAGTGGTCCTACATTCTGAGCAAGAGGATTCCAAAATGGAGGAAGAGGAATCGCCTCATACTGAGTCATGGGATCATAAAAAGACATTACTACCATTCCTCAAAAACTCGCGGCACATTGAAGAAAAGCAAGTAGATTACGAAGAAGATAAGGTTACGACGGAAAAAGCCACGCCACAATTACATCCTAACGAAATGATTTTTCCGTTGATCTATCGACAGAGTCATATAAACAGTATGTTTAAGTTCGGCGAAAACTGGTACACTTGGTCTACGGAGAAAAGAAATGATGGGTCGAAAGCAACCAACTATTACATTTGCTATGACGAACCGAAACATTGTGATGACGTTGGATGGGTAAGGAAAATTGAGATATACAAAAACTATAATTCCTTTCTTTAATTGGATCTTAGAATAACATCTCAGATGCTTTTGTGAACTTAATCCCCAAAATTGTTAGTATGTAGTCCGTCGAGTAGTATTGACTAATGATGAATATTCTTTATTTATAAAACAGGAACGCACGGACAGTGTGCCAAAGTGCGCATTCCAAATAGATTCGTTGTTGCCTGAAGATCGTGCCTGTATTAATAGCTTTGGAATAGAACCCCATGGAGGAGGAATATGTGATGGAGGAGAACAAATGAAGGTAAATTAAAAATAAACGTGCTAACTAACGTAAGTTAAACGAATTACGAGGGGAGCTCAAAAAGTAGGCGGAATTAAAAGGAAAAGGGGTGAAAATATTTTTCCTTCTTGATATATTCTCTATTAACCCTAATACACTTCTCATACCATCCAAATAACTAATTTATACCTTCGAAAAAAACTTTGTCAAGCCCCTAAAATAGGTAGACGCTGCCGACTTCACTTCATTTCCATCTGTAAATTTATTTCCCCGAAGCTCTTTTTTCATATTTGGGAACAGATAAAAAACCGAAGGGGCCTTCTGAATCAAATTCTTCTTCTGGTTTAAAGTTTCGAAGCCGCACTTGTAATAGGCAGCCATTGCAACATAACTGAACGAGTCCGTGAACGGGTGCGTTGTGCGATAGGAGCACACTTCGAAACGTAGCGTAGCGTATACTGTCCTATGATACACCTTTATCTTTATAATCTATCAATAAAATCCCTTCTGATGATCCCAAAAAACTGAAGCCCTAGTCTCCACTCGATTGTGACACCTTAAACTTCTTAGGCAGTACCACAGTTGGTGCCGCCCACGTAGGTATTTACGCGGGTGGCGTTTTAACCCCTATGTCAGGGTTTGTCGCCGAATTGGGAATAATTTTGAATATTATAAAATTACGTTCATAGGTACTTAAAAATTATAAACATTTATTGAACAAGTTCATTTTTATCGCTACAAGAACACTCGTAAAGACTCAAAGTATAACAGTCATTCACCATTGTAGACATATTTTTCGAAAACTAGTTAAATAAGCACTATAAAACCCAGTCGCGTCAACCGCATGTATTGTACAACAGCCTTTTCTAATATTATCCATACCTTTCTATACTTTAAGTCAAAGTGATTGTGACACCATGAGACTTAAAATTGAGCAGCGTTCGAGTATTTGGCCTTTAGTGGAGTGCGCTGGAATAAGATCGCGCCGCCCCCTGCCCCGCATTGCCTCCACCGTTACTCTGCGCAAGTAAATTCGTTTCCCAACTGTTAAACTATCTTTAACCTTTTTATGCCATTGCTTCGACTTCCTGCTTTGAGTCAGGTTCATAGTGATCAACTCAAGTTTCATCATCACTCACAATCGGTTCATAATTTTGTCCCTGTTGTTATTACACAGGTCCAAAAACACGCGAGAACACTCGACCCGATGTTGTTTCTGAAGCGGTGCGAGTATTATTGAATTCCATTTTGCACTTACCTTAGCGCTCGCTGTAAATTTCACAATACGCGAGCAAACCGGGCTCGACTCCCGCCGGCACCAATGAAATTGTTAATTGCAATTTTAAGTGCTGATTTACCACGTGCTCGGCGGTGAAGGAAAACATCGTGAGGAAACCGGCATGTCTGAGAAATAAGAAAAAAATATTTCGAAGACATGTTAAGTTCGCCAACACGCATTGGGGCAGCGCGGCGGACTATTCCTTGCCCTAAAACCCTCTCAGAAATCAGAGGAGGCCTGTGCCCAGCAGTGGGACGTATATAGGATATAACTTTACTTTTTTTACATACTAACCTTAGACATGTCAAGCTGATATTGGAGAATGTTTAAAGCGGTCTTGGATGTTACTCTATTAATTACTGCGATTTGTTTTTTTTCAGACGACCATCTTCAAGAACATGTTTTTTTTTAACTTTTTCGACAATGTCTGAGGAAGTTACCTCAATCGGTAGGCCTGGGCGCTGATAGTCTTCATTTAACTTTCTCTGCCTTGCTTGAAAAGGCTATACCACTTATAAACCATCGTTTTTCCAGGGCAAGTCTTAGTAAACAGATAATATGTCTTCCATAATGATACGTAGCGTTTTTCCTTCCTTAGTAAGGAACTTAATCACGGCACGAACTGAATTTTCATCATAGTTAGTGTTCACTTCTCGATTGACTTGTTAATCCTGTGATATCTCAAAGGTTAATAAACCGATCTCGCTGAAAATTGATATTTATAGTGGTATTGTTTTACCAAGTAGACAGTTAAAAATCCCCCCTTTCCTATCTAACTCCTCCATTCGGCGAACCTTTTATCCCGCTCTCGTAAATAAATTTTATATCCCTCGAAATATTTCTCAAATATTTGTAACTTGTAAGCTATATTAATGAAATCTACGGTGAACGATTCACAATAAACTTGTCAGTGATAGAAAAATACTCGTACGAAAGTTGCATACAACTTTTAGGCTCTAACTGGTAAAAAACAAGAACATAACTATTAGTAATCTCTATTTAAGTTATATCAACCTTATATATTATACCTTTGTCTTTAGATTGGGCGACCTGAGCTGGGGAACGTGTATTTATACATTTATAATATTGTGCTAAAAAGGCAAGGATATTGATCGATATTCGTTTCACGAGAAGAAATCAAACCTAATCATTTTCTTCATCAGCCCTTGCAGTCGACTGATGAATATGACCTGGCCTAGCAAGTCTACATTAAAAGGCCGATATGCGATAGCAGTACTACCGTAGCACCTTTGATATTGTTTCCTTCGGCAGATTTGAGTACTTGCATCTAATCATCCCACTCATGTTTTAACTGCAATTTGAAGTTACGATTTACTAAGTCCTCGGTGGTGAAGAAAAAGATTGCAAGGAAACCTGCATATCTGAAAATTTTAAAAAATATTTCGGAAATCATTTTTAGATATAGGTATGTGAAGTCGATCATCCCGCGTTGGAGTCAACTTAACTTCTTTTTGACCTAAACCTCGCTGTGGCAGTCCTTTTTTACCTAAACCTCGCTGTGGCAGTCCTTTTTGACCTAAACCTCGCTGTGGCAGTCCTTTTTTACCTAAACCTCGCTGTGGACGCCTGGGCACAGGACTGCCGGCATCCACAGTGCAAATTGAGTGTATTTATAGTTTAATTTAATCATTTTGTCTTTATTCTGTTGTTTCTGTCAGTGTTGTTATCTACCTAAACGACTATGGATATTGAATATATAAAAGAATACCGGCAACGTCCAATGTCGGCACAAGTGGTACACTGTTCTAGTGTAAGCACATACACGTCCGAGTTACTCGTCCGGGTAGTTCTGTCCGCCATCGGCCGACAAAATCGGTTTTGTTGTACACGTACCGTTACGGTAACAGTCTTCCGATACTTACTCGTAAGGGAAGATAGATTTCTACGTCGTTATCATACGACTTAACCAAATGATGTACTCTGATTTAAATTTCGTTTAAGTTTCGAAAACTTCTGGCTTTACATAAAGTAAAAAAGTAAAGTTACAGCCTATATACGTCCCACTGCTGGGCACAGGCCTCCCCTCATTTCTGAGAGGGTTTTAGGGCAAGGAATTGTCCGCCGCACTACCCCAATGCGTGTTGGCGAACTACACATGTCTTCGAAATATTTTTTTTTTCTTATTCCTCAGACATGCAGGTTTCCTCACGATGTTTTCCTTCACCGACGAGCCGTGGTAGCTCATATGGTTAACGCTCGCTGTAAATATAACAGAACGCGAGTAACCTGGGTTCGATCCCCGCCGGCACCAATGAAATTGTTAATTGCAATTTTAAGTGCTGATATACCACGTGCTTGGCTTTACATATTAAAAAGAAAAGTGTATAGGTGAGTGATATGGTACGAGCTTGCGGCCCGCGGATCCGCTCTTTATGGCGCTTCTACCGCGTCGGCCGTCGCCCTGCCAACGCAGCCAAACCTGCAGACGTCAACTCACTCATTTGTGAAGACGAAGAAGAATGCTACATCACGATAGAATACCGGGTAAGGCATGATACAATGCTGTATAACGCAAAGTCAAATAATGATATAATAAATGAACTCCTTTGTCATGTAAAAAATCGTACATACCAAAAATAGAATAAAGACCAAATTAAAACTAAAAGGGTATCGGATGCCTAGACATAAACGAAGTCACTGTCAATTCAAGAAATGTTTAGTTTCTCTCTTTCTCTGTTCTGTTTGTTAAACGACGATAAAAAGAGACAACTATAGAGATAATTGATACTTCATTTAAGTAAGCAAAACAATTATAAGGCTGTTAGAGAATGGGTTATAACAGACAACAGCAATACTATAACTTAACGATCAATGAAAACTTGACCTACTTAAGTAAGTTGAGATGTTCCTAGTTTTTAAAATAATTGAGCAAAAACGGCAATGGCAGGGGAAGATAGATTTTATATATTATAAAAATATTTACTCATTATCCAAAAAGAAAACAGAGGAATTCATTTGTATAGACTTAATGACACCTGAATAGCCTTTTAGAATTTAGTGACATAATTTAGACGAATGAAAATTAACAAAAAATTTTTTCGATTTTATTAAAAGTTGATTATAATTACAGATACACCATGATAGAATCACATTTTCACTGCATGAGCCGACGCGAGGGCAAACTTTCAAAAGCGCTCTGAAACGTGAAATTCCAGTCGAGGATGAAAATAAAGGAACACCAGCTACGGAAACACATGCGCACACAGTGCATAAGGGCAAGAAAGGGCTGAAAGTAAGAGAAGAGAATCAAAATGAGGGAGCAAAAAGGTTTCACACGCGGCCAAAAACTAAAACAACAGAAGGCAAGGGTGTCATTAAAGATCGCAACGATTCCGAATATACAAATCGAAGAGTGGTTAAAAACAAAATAAAAATCAGAGAAGATATATCTGAAGATGTATCAGAGTGAAACTTCTAACATTCAAAGACTTAATTAAAAGTTTTAATTATATTGAATACATTTATTTGTTTTGTGCAAGTAAGGTATAGTGCTATGGTTGCTGGTATGGTATGGTGCTATGGTTATAATTTACTAAATTAGTGATTTGTTTTTTTTTTAAAGAATTGTAAATTGCCCTATCTCTACTTTATTGCATATGGTATGATGAATGTAAATAAAACCAATAAAATAAATAAAGAAAATTAATATAATCTGTAAACTTTCACTTAAAAATAATGTATTACTATTAATGTTTTTTAAACTTCATCTTCGGCTGTTTGAGTACTTTCTCATTCTCGTTATAGAACTTTTTATAATTCACATTTTTGTAGTTGAAACGATTTACATTAGTTTTAATTTCCGATTTGTTCTGCATTTTGTATTTTTGATTGTTCTCGGGTTTGTTTTCGGTTTTGTCCTCTTTCGTGGCTTCCACTACAGAATCCTTGCGCTCTCGTTTATCGGAAGATATTTTCCTTTTGCGTTGAACGGTTTTTTGAACCACGTTCTCATCATCATCGATCTCGTTGGTTGTATCGAATTGGTCCGTTTCAGTTTTATCTTCGGCCTCAACAAGGGCCTTCGCTTCTTGAAGTTTTATCAGTACTTCTTTCTTGATCAGCTCATTGCCTTTACCAATGGCTGCAATTTTCGCTTCTTTGTCTTTAAACTCCTTAAGCTCCTCCATCTGAAAAATAAAACATAGCTATCACTTTATAAACGTGATTCCACACTTTTAGAAAAGTTAATCGGCATATGATTACCTGAGCAAGTGTTCGGTACTTTCTGTATCTATCATATGGCGGAATAAATAATTTGGCGTCGACATTTAAATTGGATACCTGAAATGAATAATAGTTTCGTATTTTTACTTTTAAATGTACCTTTTATTACACGATAAATCTAATATACTCAAAATAATAAAAAGCCATCCATCATCGACTTTCATACTTACTATATTGCCCGTCTCACTATCAGATGTCGACTTAAAAGCTTTAATGTCGGGTTGAAAGTCGATGTAATTTTCAATGCACTCTGCCGCTTTATCTAAATTTATCGGTTGATCCTCACTGCAACAACGAAATGGTGTGATTTTATTAATTATCACATCGTAGAACTACAATGGAATATGAGTAAACATATTTGAGTAGTAACCGAATAATCGGAAAGTCTCATTGGCTAGTTGGTTCTGGGTTCAATCCCGGACGAAGCTGTTTGTGCAAAATCAAAAATAGTTGTTTTTGCATTTGTTTGTATTGTGTTGTAATTTCCTGATTCACTGTATTACATCGCCCATTACATCGGACGCGGATGGGTTAGAACGAATTTCAATATAATTATGGCACTACAATAACTCTTGCACAGTCAGTTGGAAAGTTGTCATGGCGAAATCGGTCAAAAGAATAATCCCATATGCTATTCAAAGTTTTGAAAGATGTTTGATGCAATTGGTACGGAATATGAGCACCGAATTTGTGTGATTTTTTATATATACGACAGACCATCCAAAAAGTTTTGCAAAAGCATTTTTTTTAAAATTATCATTTATTGGTCCAGTTATAATCTATTTTGAAAATACGATTATTTACGAATGTTCCAAGTTTAAATTTCCATCCAAATGTTTGATGGAATATCTAATTTAAGGAATATGGATGGAATGGCTATCTGGTGTGGCTCATTTGCGCACGATGATTTTTTAAAATTTCAAGTGTTGTCTAAAACCACAAGAATCGTATGATAGGCTTCAAATGTCATTTATTATTAATACAGTTATACCGCATTTATTATGCTTTTATTAAGTAGGTAAAGTGTATCTGATGCATTTATGTATAGCAATTTTATAAAGCAAATTTTCGAACATGGCTTGGTCTGACTTACAATCATCATTTAGAAGGAAATAAAACAAATCAGTTTAAAAAAAATATTCAACTCAATTTATGTTTCAGACACCATCTGAGGAACTTTCAGATGTCTAGCTCTAGCCTGTTATATTGTGATAAATAATTAAAAAAAATTTAACTATTTAACATTCCAATCTATCTAATTTTGAAATTTATGTTGTCACATACAATTTATAGTTTTTTTTTTCACACAACAAACCTGAATCAAAGTAACGTAAAAATCCAAAATTAAGGGTATTGCAGGTTAGGTTATTAAAAATACCTGAATTCTGGGTAATGTGTGAGGTCATGCACGTTGTAAGACATCAGTGGATAATGCGCGACGTTGACCATGCTGCTGATGCTCTGCGGCATTTGGAAGAGTTGTGGTTCCATCGGCAGCTCGCGGCACTGAAATACAAAATTCTTTGTTACTAATCTATTGTAAACAGAGACATTTGCAGCGATGTATTTCTAATAAAACTAGAAAATAAAAAGCTGCGATCGCCGACCCGCATTCAGACGTGGCAACTATAGTAAACAAGCCCCAAGAAGCAATAACAAGAAAAACTGATCTCAGTCCCTGGCTTGGCCGCCATTCCTAGCTACGGTGGCGATCAAGGTAACTGCGGGGTTTGGGGTTCAGACTCTCCGGTGGAGGTTCAGTTGCCACCTTCTACGACATTTAACGTATGCACCGAGGACAGACGGGAATGTCTTGCAGTTGGAAGAAGAGATAGACAAGTTGCGCTACGATATTATAGGGTTATCTGAAATCCGAAGAGAGACAGAGAGATGGCACGGTAATCCTACTATATGGTAACTTCTTCTATCACCTCCCGGTCTAGCTCTCCTGAGCTACTATCTGTCCCAAGGTGTCCAATTTATCGCCCACTAGTCATCAACGTTGTGAAAATTGGGAGTGTGTCAACAAGGCTTATCTACCTTATACCAAAGTTTAATAAACATACAGTTAAGAAACGCCCTTGATGTCAGCCGATACCACCGCCCAGTATTTACTATTTACGCCATCCTGCGCAAATATGCGTATAGGTTGTCACGAAATTGGGAATAAAATAATTTTAGATATTATTATACTAATTATCGTTTATTAACATTATGTACACACTTAATAAATGACGAAAAAAGTACATTTACAAGTATTACACAGGCAAATATTTTCATGACACTTCTTTATACAGAAGTTTTCATTTTTCGATTATTAAATTTAATTAGGTGGTGTACTCGTATTCGGATAAGCAATATTATCAAAAAATGAGTGAAACATAAGCATGACTGTCATTTGAATTCAAATTTATTTAGTAAATTCATATTTCACTATAACAGTATTCACCATTCTAGATATTATATTTTACGAAAACGGCACTTAAAATTGGTTAAATAAGTAGTTGAAAACACACTCGCGTCAACAGCATGTATTGTACAGCAGACTTAGTGGAGTGCGGTATGCACGCATGCTATGCATGAGAATATCTCTAGAGCTAACCATTTCATCAAAACCGATTATACGGTGAGGTTCATAAAGGACAATTAGGCTCTAGAAAAGACGAATTGAAAGTAGAGAAATTTGGAACAGGGCAACGGTATTTCAGAGCTCAATAGCTGGTCCACATCATGGAAAAGGAGGGGCTCTTTATGATGAACTATTTCTTTCAGAAGCGACCCCATAAAAAGAGAACCTCATCTAGTGTTGACAGATCGACGAAAAATGAGATTTCCTTCATTATGATAACCAAACGAAGATTGAAATGCAGTAGTCGACCTAAAAACAAGCTCATGAAAAATGTTCATGCGGTAGGAGCCAAAATGCAAATCCCGTCGCAGAAGAACCCAAAAACTCTCCGATCTCACCATTATGATGTCTGTTAAGAGGGCACACGTAGCTGCTTCTTCTCGTCTTCAATAGATATGACAGCATACAGGAAACTGAACAGACTGATCTTCAAATGCATGCAGCGAAACTGACGCAACTTTAATACAGCTACAGCTACAGATTTGCCTGATATTTGCCTGCCGAAAAAGCCATCTGTTCGAAGTTGAAGATCGACCGACTGTGGCAGCTTCAAATCAAATCATCAAACACACGCAAGTGCGATGATATCCCGGATGACAGTCTGAACGAGATTTTAAAAACTTAACCTTAAAACCAGCTAAGCCTCTGGCGCGGTTTGAATTACAGCGAGCTCCTCAAAGCAAATAAAAAATCAGCAGTTGAAGTCTCAAAAACTCTTCAATTCCGTCTTCCTCGACGACACTGCTCTGAAGGCGTAAAGCAGAAGTACGATGGTCTCGGTCTTTAATTAAAGAACTGCAGACTGCAAATAGCCCTGTGGAACACCAGAATTCACAAGTTTTGAGTACGAGCATGTGTAATAAATAATAATAAATAACTTCGTCCTTGATGTTAGGATCTGGGAAGAAACTCGTGATCCAACTCCACAGAGGAAGGCTTATAAGCGGGAAGCTTCGGAAGAATCACTTTTTGCCAAACCTAATAGAAGGTCTTCACTAATTCCAAACTAACTGTAAAGGCATACCTGTTGGACTTTATTGTGTCTGCCCATCTATGAATCGGGTAAACCTATATGAGATTACCAGCTAAGTGACCACAAAGGAAACTGTTCTGATCAAATGAATCAGCTGGTACCCCAAGACCCTCATGAAATTGTAGTTAATAATGGATTCTCTATTATTTTAGGTAACAAGATGATAGCAATAGGTTGCACCGATCAGGGAGTGCTTTGCGTATTGAACACTATATGAAGCGCACATTCCCTACGGAGCACTCATAAAGCAGGCTAGTCAGAATTTGCCTTGCCATCAAGAATAGATGGACGCAAAAAATAACTTTAAAATCAGAATTTTACGTTCTTTGAGCTTTTAGGCTGACAGAAGTTCTATTGGGCAGCCTTAGCCAGAGATCAGAGTGCCTTTACAATAACTCCTTTGAAAGACCTGGAGGCGGATTTTTTAAGGACGCTTCCCTGAAGAAACACATAAGCGACAGAATTTGCAACAACGTTCGGATCATGTGGCTAGAAGCTAACCCGCTAACATGAATAGGATGCA